CTGAAGAGATATTCCCTCTGAAGTCACACCAACAGAAATGGTGGCAAAAACTCCTCCACGACTCTTGTGTGTTTACTGCGAATGTGCCAGTAAACTATGTCAAGGAGATGGAAGTGGGTGTGGCACCTGGAGTCTCTGCACACGCTCCTTGTTACTAGGCAGGTCCAGCAAGTCATCGATGTTCACCTCCTCTGGCATTTCCTCCTCCTGCGGAATATCAGACACTCCATCAGTCCGTGTACCCATGCATTTCTTAGGGGCAGAGCAATAAATATACTTGTTTACTTCCTGTTTTAAAAAATGTACATAAAGACTCCCGTACAGTCTGTAATGTATGCCATACTCACACTGTAATCGTGGAAAGAGGGTTATGCTTCTGCTCTACTCTGCTGCTACTCAGCTGTGAGAAAATGCCCATATGCTTGGGTTGAATTTTTAATTTTTCATGTGACATTCAATTGTGAAAAATCACAGATTTTGCACAGAGATGTTCAGGCTTTGTCAAATTTGTGCAGACATATAATGAATGAGGCATTAGGATTCTCAGTTTGAGTTTGGGAATGTTTAGAGCAGAAAGCACCAGTGAGACACTTTCTAATGAAGTATTTCCTTCGTTTCCATAAACTATTGGGGGCATTTGTGTCTCCTGGGACTGCTGGTAAAGAGATTAGAGCATTCTCAAATTCTCACGTCTCCCAGTGAGGCTAACAATAACCTCCCCTAAGGAAATGAACAAAACTTCTTCTTCCTGCAAAGTAATGCCCCATCTAGCATTTGACCATAAACACAATGCTACAATTCCCTTAATTAAACAAAAAGAAAATACAAATGATCATTTTATATCTCAAAAATTAACTTTGTTTTATCATTGTGCTGTTTGCTGTGAACACGTCACTTATACAAAGCTCATTTGTGTCATAACAAACAATGAATCCATTCTAGTCAGGAGAACTTTGTTTAGTAGGAGTCATATCCACACTTTCTGCCGAACCATCTTTATACAGCTAGAAGCCGCACATGCAGTAAGCCAGACAGGTCTACAAATGGAATTTTCCAGCCTCAGTACCTTGTAATGGGACTACTAGCACTGTGCAACAGTACAATTGTAAAAGGTGTAAAAGATATTTGAATGAATGATTGATTAAGCAGTGCCAATTGTATTTATACCACAATATCATTTCAAACCTGGTGAAAAAAAGTTGGACTTCCACTTTAAATATTTCCATGTTGTAATTCTGAGCATAGGGGCCAAGAGTAGTCACATAACCTATACAGTCCTACACTGAGATGCACTACAAAACCAAAAAAAGCTTTGTATAGAACAGTAGAGCATTGTCTGAGGTAGTGAATAGGCTCATCCAAGCTAGCTGACACAGACAACTCTGATTACTTAAACAGGCTCTTTGTGGGTGGAATTTATGTCCAGTTTGGAGTACTCTCTGCTCCCAGCGGCGTTCAAATGCTGCCCTCATTCAAGCTGACTTGTTTCGTAAAGAGTCTGCAGTCAGCCAGAAGTGTCACTGCAGTGCATCTGCATGGAGGAATTTTACAAGTGAAATGTGAAATTAATTGGCTTTACCATTGGAAGAACCCCTCCCAGACATGTGTGTCTCTCATTGGTACATCTCCCACTCTAACTACACATTTATTACTATGGAAAAATTGATGCAAAAGGCTTTTACATCATTCACATTACATATTTTCTTGGGAGACACCCTTATCCAGAGCAGCTTACATAGCTGACGGTTTTGGCTATTACCCATGTGCACACCTTGATTTTTACTACCTTTTTGAGCAGGTCAAAGATACAATGACAGTACCCTGCCTGGGAACTGCACCAGACAGTACCTGATATTTATGATTCATCACAACACAGGGATTAGTGCATCATTAAAGCAGGTTAAAGGCAGGACTCAGAACTCTGACTTCATCTCCTCTTGACTGAACCAAAGGCATTGCATTACTGGAAGATATGAATGGGACTAAAGCTTTAACCCACACACTGGGTAACTAATTGCAATAGTCACCACATTTGCTTCGATAAAACAGCAGTCACATGTTCCACAGAATGTGTCACTATTACGAAATAATGCATCTGCACTCTCAGGTTAAACTGATGATATGATGATACACGCTATGATTTTAGAAGGAAATTATCAGAAAATACTACTGGCTCAAAACCAGCTTTCTCATGTGTTGACAATGACCAGGAGCCCACATCAACAGAGGAAGTATTTTTTGTTTTTGTTCATGTTTGATTCTTGTTTATGTGATAAATTATGCGGATTTATTTTTGTTTATAAAGGGAAGTGAGAAGGTTGAACAAATGGGTGAGGAAGACATGAAATAAGGAAGAACAGGGAATGGGGCAATCTCGTTTCCTAGTATTAATGAAACATTAATATGACTAAGGCAAAAATGCATCACTTCAGTATTGTACAAACAACATGTGAATATCTGTCTTGCTTAAAAAATTATTTTGCCTATTCCTGGCAGCATGACCAGGGAGACTTTGACTATACGTGCTTAATCAGTCCGCCATCCTTTGCAATGTAGGAGTGTAAACCAGCTGGCCAATGCTTCCTACACAGAGACAAAAATTCAATAAAGAGTGAAATGTAGTAATAGTCTACATAGCCACAGCTCTAACAAATCCTAAAATGTCTCCTACTCTCCCGCCGCACACCTGTGTCCATTAAGCACTGATTAAGGCAGGTGTGTCTTGTTATTCAATTGCTGTCTTAATACAGTTAGGCCATGTCCACACGTACACGGGTATTTTTGAAAACGGGGGTTTTCCCTCCTTCGTTCTTAAAAAAATCTCCGTCCACACGAAAACGCAAATACACGCTGTCAAGAGCATGCCAAACCAACAGGTGACAATATAACCCTAACCGTAAAGCCATGTTGGCCAATCAGAAGCCTGAAAAAAAAGTTACTACGGCGCACACTCTGACGTCACAAGCCAAAAACTCCATTTTCCCTGTCTACACGTGAACACTGAAAACGGAGTTTCTGAAAATCTTCACCCTGGAAGGCGTTTTGCAAAAGATCCGTTTTCAGTGACCTAGAACGCCGTTTGTGTGTGGATGAAAGGCCAAAACGCATAGAAAAAGCTACGTTTTTTAAAAATACCCGTGTACGTGTGGACAGGGCCTTGAACAAGACAAACAATTACATAGACCATAACAATCACAATTAACTGTATTTCAAATGCTAATGATTGAAATTTGTGAAATTATTGACAAAGCTGAACACAAGGATCATTACATCATACATTTAAAGAACTAACAATTCAAACATAAAACATTTTTGGGGGACGGGTGAAGACAATCCTTCTCCTTCATAGGACAGCCATTTTAGAGGACATTTCTGAGGAAAACAACTTACAACGGTAAATAGAAGTGGCTAAACACAACCACAATTCTGGCCTCTGAACCTTTCATGTCTAAACTGGTGAGGAGTTCATGAGGTGTTCCAATGTTTCCCATATGGCAACAGTAACTCATTCAGTGCAACTTGCACTGACTTTATCAGACTTGTTTATTGTAATACATGAAGTGATTAGAACTGCCCTTGTAAAAGTAATGGGAACCGGGTGAAAAGTTCCTGCTGAAGCAGCTGCAGAATAGGCAGAATCAGCAATACAAAGAAGATAAAAGCAGTATAATCAAAAGGAAGATCAAACTTTGTAAACAGTTCAAAGAAATGTTAAATATGTCCATGTAAAAGGGGAAGAAAACAGACAAGGGTATGACAGGCACCTCAAAAGAAATTTAACCACTTAAACCTAAATTGCTTTCTTTATAAAGAACATGCTTTGTACTTCACCACATAACTCATGAAATGCACTTTTATAATACTTTTAATGGAGGCTTCTATAAACATCCCTGTACACAATAGTCTCTGATCAACCACAGATGAGATCTTAAAAGGTTTATAAATCGTATACATTTTCACCAACTGAGCCCTCCAGTGTTTATTATCTTGTGTTCAGTGTGCATTTTATTGATCCATCTCTGACAGTGTGTCAATTTGGCATGCATCCATCTCATGGCCACTGTCTGCTCCCATGCATTGGAGTGTGGGGTCAGGCTGCTACGACAGGTATACATGAAAACACATTTTAATTATGGCCAACAAGTTTATTGAGTTTATTGAGGACTGAGCTAGAGCGTCTTCGCTGTGCAGGAATCGTGCTGTGAAACATAAGTTTAAACTTGAAATGATTTATTCAAGTTTTATTTACTGATTTATTCATAACCATTTATTACTTATTCAGACTGTAGAATCCGCTGATGTCTCTGTAGCTCCGCGTGTGGCCAGTGAGTTAGCTCCAGAGCTCTGCATTGTTAAGTAGAGAATGGAGAATGTGTCCATGTGTCAAGGGAAAGCACTGATTGGCTTTTGCAGGGGCAGTTCCCCTATTGTTCATTGTTCATCTTCAGAATCATCAGGATCAAAGCAGCACTGGTGTTTTTGTATTGGTAGAGTATGTGGTTGTTGTTGAGCTAGCTTTGCTTTGGCTGGCCCAAGAGGCTTTGCTGTTGATAGTGTTAAGATTGCGTTTGTCTGTCTACAGTACAGTCCATTCACTGCCACAATGTTAACAACTGCTTATGAAGAGCTAAAAAATGCATGTTTTCATACACATTTGCATACATACTGAATGTGTAGGGGAGAATCTACAAGCCAAGTAATCAGGACTTGTATTGTTGTTAGCAGATTCTCATATCTAGAGTGACTTACATCAATTTCAGGTTTTTACAATGTTATCCATTTATACAGTGGAATATTTACTGAGGCAATTGTGGGTTAAGTACTTTGCCCAAGGGTATAGCAGCAGTGTCCCTTTGGGGAATTGGACCAGCAACCTTTCAGTTACAAGGCCTGTGCCTTAACCACTTTGCTACACTGCCACCCCAAAATTCATCTAGTACAGGAAGGAACAGTGGTCAAACACATAAGCTGCAAAGGTGTTGTTTCTTTTGTGAAAGAATTGGTTCCATTGGGATTCAAACCCAGAGCCTCCTGCATGTAAAGCAGATGTGATAACCACTATGGAACCTTGCAACAGACAGCAGTTAGATTGCAGTTAGAATGCCCACACTTTTCAGTTCAGGAGGTTGCTCCTTTCTTTTTTAAAATATCTGCTTGGCTTTTTCAGTACCTGTCGTTGGTTAATTGGTTTTTGCATTACCCTGTATATTCTGGACTTCCACAAACCCCAGGAGAGATCACTTCAAAGAAGGAAAGTCCCTGACACTTCAACCTCTCCCGTGGGGATGGATCAGCGTGTCTCCCTGGAGCAGAGTCACTTAATCATCCAGCTGCGTGATCCCTCGCTTGAACCCCCTCCAAACAGGGAACACTTTTCCTGTTTCTCAGCCTGCACATCTCCTGCCCATTAAAGGCATTATGCATTCTGCTCTCCTTTGGCATGTTGGAGCATAGTGATTATGGCTCCCCGTTCTTACCCTCACCCCCGCAACTACACTCAACCACACACACACACACAAATGCATGGCTCTTTCCCTTTTATAGGATCCTCTACTTTCATGATTGTTCTGCTTGGATTGCCTTTGAAATCCTTGGGTTTGTCACATGGCGGTGAAGAGTCTATTACCACTTATACCTGAAGTCCATCACTTGCCCATAATATAAAAAGAAAAATACAATCTAATTTGGATTAGACAAGCAGTGAAATTAGTAGTAGAAGTAAATTAGTGAAGTAGTGAAATATCCACATTTGCCGTATATGATGTCACTTTGGACGCAGTCAGGTGTGCACATCTATAATAAAACCAGTTTCGGTATGCATGGTCAAACGTGTAATTACGTCACTACTGCAGTGACGTTTTAGATTACAGTTATATTTATGAATAAATAAACCTAAACCTTTGTGTTTTCATTATAAACTTTCTGCTAGAGAAAAAAAATATGGGTAGGTTACTCAGAGTTGGAGTAATACACTGTGTATGTACATTTCAGAGGGGCACCTTCTAAGGGAAACGAATAGCAAGCAATTTTCATTCGCGTCATGGGAAACTGTTTGTAATGTAGTCCAATCTCTGTACCAAGGCGACGTTGCCGAGGCATTTTCTAAATTAGTGCGATAGACATCAGCAGTTCCCGGCGAGACAGTGATAACATCTTGGTCTTCGACGTGCCCGCAAGAATGTTCTGTCACGATGTGAACGAGTAAAACTTCACAGCTGCATGTGATTCTGTTTACGGGTATTTTCTTTTCAAATTGGCCGTCCTTCATGATAAGTTTCAAACAAAAATAACCAATTCCTTCATGTCCGTTTGACAAAGGTTAGAAAATTCTTGAAGTCTCGTGTTAGATATCACAGTGCACCGTATACCGCAGTCACTTTGTATATCCAATAGTGTTGATACATTTCTTAAACGCTGTATCGAAATTTCAGAATGACAAAGGTTTTGGTACCTGTAAAACTTAAATACATCTAATGCCAAATTAGCGAATGTCTTTCTCTGCGTAAAACGATTTAGTTATTCTGCCCCTGTCTACACATCACAGCGATCGATGACACCCATGGCCCAGGTGCGATGCGGTTGCAGGTAGGTGATGGAGCACCATAACAGGAATATACATTGTTGGTTTTCATTACTCACCCTGCCCTGGTACAGTTTATCCAGACCACCATCGATCCATTTTTCCACATCCAGACGTTTTTGAAGCTCCTTTCTGTTGTATTTCACCGTAACTCGGGCATGTCTTTTCTGAAGGCTGAGCCCGGGGTCCCGAACTGCGTCCCGGTTCGGAGAATGGGCTATGTTGTTACATTGCCTTTCGACCCGGTTCGCTTCCATGCCTAAATGTCCAAATCGAACGCTATGCACACATACACACTGTCAACTTTGACTGCGCTTACTGTGCTCTGAGTTGCTCGCGAAGTAAAGTATACAAACTCTGGCTATTAAAACGATGGGAATATTCCCCGGGTCCTAGTGTCCACAATTGTCCGACGGGGGAACAATTGTGGACACAATTTATTGTATATCTTTTGGATTTTTACGTTATACTAGTGAGACATAATTTAACTAATCAGTCTTTTAGAATATGTGTTACAACACGAAACAATGTAATATTTACATAACTATAACTTTTTTATTGTGAACGTCTTGTAAACCTGATTATAATGTTCTTTCCTATTTAGATATCAGCGACACATTGCTTAAAAAGACATTGTCCTGTTACTGTATTCCTTTAGCGTTGATAACTCAGTTATCTTTTATGAATGTTTGCTTCATAACCGTTTTCCATTTATATTATTATATTTATATTTCCATTTGTCCAGGCACTTGAACATCTTGATATTTCTTTTAGCTTCCGAGTTTAGCGCTGCCTATCTTATTATTGCAAGTGTTGGCGGAAGTGATGCAAGATGTGACATACTGAATTACAAAACGGTGGTTAGGCTAAACACATTTTCAAGATGTGGCACCGTCACAGTTAAGGATGTGAAACGATTGATAGACAGGAAGACTTACAAATTGACAGACAGCCAGATTTACAGCATTACCTATTAATCTGTGCTGCGTATGAAAATATTAGCTACTATAAACGATGCGACTGACAGGAACGTTTCTTTTTGTATCCCTTGTGCTCATTCCTGACACAAAAAGGCACACGTCACGCTTTTTCTGCACAGGTTGTTATGATCTACAACAGTGTTTCCCAGCCCTACTCCTGGCGGCACACTGTCCTGCATATCTTCTATCTATCCTTGCTCTACCTACCTGACTGAACTCATCAGTGGCACGTTTGATTAGGTGAGCACACCTGATTTAATCAAGCAGCAAGGATACATAGAAGATATGCAGGACAGTGTGGCGCCCGGAGTAGGGTTGGAAAACACTGATCTACAATAATGAACTGTTTATCTTGTGACATAAGAGTTCGTAGAGTGGGAGAGACCGAGCTTGCTATGTTTATTTTAATGTAACAGGCATAAAAAGAGATGTTCACTGACATATCTGAGCTCCCTGCCTTCAAAATCCCAAGTCCCAAGTTTAAATATGCAGCAGGGACTCCAAGCAATAGCCAGGCATATGTAACCAGGCCTCTCAGGTTTAAGTGTAACCTGCGCTGTTTGTGCAGGAATTTCCCATTCCAAAAGCAGCCCCAATGCCCTGTAAACCTAAACCCCTCTTTTCACACACCAGGTTTATAGCAACGTTCAACTTCCATGTAAAATCTCCCTTTCATGGGTCAAGTGTGTGGGGCCATTAGAATCGACAAAAAGACAACCTTGGAGGTTCTCATCTTAATCTTAGATGCTAAGTCAACAGTTTTTTTCCCATGGAACCTCAAACCTGCAATTTCCTGTGCTATTTGTTGTAGTATGAACCATGACCACTGGAACCCCCCTTGCACTGAACAGACAGTACAATCACATGAGACTGCTTTTCACATTAACATAGTATGCTGTTTGCACTTGTAATAACTGAGCTCCCACTCTACCACTAGTTCCTATCTCTTGGAAAATGTGGTCTCCTGGATGCACCCAAGGTCTCATGTGTTCTCCTATTCTCAGACTCATGGCCCAGTTCCTACTCCTGGAATCTGTAAAAAAAAAAAAAAAACACAGTTTATGGAGATGTTGCCATTGCACAATGTGCACACTCTTTCCTGCCTTTACAACCTGCTGTCCTGCTCACTCTCCCTCACTGCTCCAAGGACTTCCCCCCTCCCACTCTGTGGTGTGCTCATAACCTCTCCAACGGCTGTCCTCACCAGTTCCTGGAATAGATTCATTTTGACCGTTGAGATTAGTCAGTCAGGCCAGCCAGACCAGCTCTCTGGGTGGTCAACCAGCCAGCAGTGATAACTGATGAAGTTATTCTGGATGTCTCCATCCAGAAATGGAATCATTTTGCAGTTTACACACTGCAGTACCCACATAATTTATCATCTCAGCCTAGCTTCTTAATCTACCCTGAAGCTGTTTGTGACACTGCACCCTTTGTTCCCGTATGAGGTGCGATACTCCTGTCCCTTCCCGTGAGCAGGATGAAGGAGGAGACTCTGTGGAGCCTCAAAAACCTTACACATTCTAAATGTCCATTTGTTTCTCTGCCATCCAATCAGGGACAGGAACCTGCATTTTATTTCAGGTTTTGGGTATAAAAGCTTGTACCCAAACAACATCATTTTGTAATTGATCTGCCTTGCTTTTACCCGGTATGTTTCATACTGTAATTAGATACTAGTTTTTGCTTTGTTATTAAATTGCTATTAACCTAAACTTTGGAACTACGAGTCTTACTTCACAAGAAGGAAAAATCCCTACACTTTTCCTCAGGGTTCAATTTATAACATCTTAAATCCTTCTCAGTGTTTGTTCATGTTTTAAACAAAGGTAGTGAAGCTGAGGGGTATGATTTAGTTTAATGTGGAACTTCACCTTGTTATGGCACATTGCCTGGAGGAAACGCTTCACAGGCTGTGTTTCCTTGTTTCCAGAAGTGCACAGTTGCGCCTCTGGCTCCAGAACTTAGTTTGTTCTCTCCTGGTGACCATACTTTGGCTCCCGTTCAGAAGTGCTGCAATATTTGATATGTGCCCTTGCACGGGGCCACCATTGGAGAGGCTCTCACAGGATCAGCTCTGAATAGCTCCCAGCATGAGACACTTAATGGTAAATAATATAATTTTTTTTCTTATTCTTGTTTCTTTTTATACAGCTTGCAGTCAGGTGTCAACTGTGAGGTGTTTAACCAGACAGAAAGAGAGGTCAGGCTGTTGCTTTAAATCCAGGGGAATAAATACTTTATTTTAATCTCAACCTTTGCACTTTGGTTAAACTTACTGGTGGCTGCATGTGAAAATGTTTTGTTCCTCAGCTAAGATAGCGTTGATGCATTTTTTTCCACCATTGTGTTTGATAAACATTATATTTATTCTTAGGAAAGTTACAGTGAATGTTTCTGTAGAATGGCAAATCCTGTTTATGTTGTCTGAGAAAGAGAGGTTCTGATCATTCTAAACTGCTGATGTTTTGAAAGTAGACAGCTGAATTCTGTGTTCCCAAAAAGCGG